GGCGGGGGTGGGGGGGGGGAAGGTTGAGGGGGAAAGTTATTGAGCAAAACAAAAAAAGGTTGCCTGACCCTTTAAGGGTGGCCATTTTGCACTCTGTTCTCCGCAGCACACCTCCAACTGCCTTGCGGCACACTGGTGTACTACGGAACGCAGTTTAAGAAGCTCTGCTCTAGGCTCTCAGTAGAGAAGGCAAAGGATGAAAACAATTATCTGTGGTATGTTAAGGGTGAACATCATTAGGATCTTCTGGGGAAAGACCACCTGCTCCTAAGCTGGCTGCAGCTAGTTTTCCTTTCTAAATGTTGCATCTAAACAATGTCTCTTTAGCTCCGGTCCCAGGAAACAGCAGAGCTACTGGCAGAGAAAGCTCAAATTGCGGAAGAAGAAGCCAAACTGCTGGCCCAGAATGCTGCAGAGGCTGAGCAAGAGCGGCAGAGGTTGGAGATCACTGCTCTGAAAAGCAAGGAGGAGAAGCGTCTGATGGAGCAGAAGATGCGGGAGACAGAGCTGATCGCAGTAAAACTGGTGAAAGAGTCCGATCGAAGGTTAGATTTGCTTGTGGGCCTGATGTGTGGCTTCTGTCAGCCATGGAACTGGTGGAGGTAGTGATTATCTTCCCAGAGTTTACCTCTGGAAGGAGGAATTCCCCAGCTGACCCTTCATAGCTGCTAAAACTTTGTGCACCTTGTTCCAGGGTATTAGAAATTAGTGCCAGAAATTGATTTTTTTTTTTTTTTAGCAAAAATTCAGCGTTACTGTTTTAAGTGTGACTTTGCAGCAGCTCCTTCATACCATTATCAAAAGACTGAGGGGTACTAATAGAGAGTCTAAACTTAAATGTAAAGCTCTGTGAACGCTGGAACCATGCTAATTACAAGAGGGTGAACTCATAAGTGGTTTGAAGGATTCTATTATGGGGTTCCTAGCCCAGTGCAGTGCACGCACTGTAGACCTTGTTATAGATTATATATAGTCTATTGTTCACATGTCGAGAATGTTAGGACCCAGCGTTGTCCTAAGATACATACCTCTTGATCTTTGTTGCGCTTATCAGCTGGCACCTGAGGGCACTTCGCTTAAGCTAGCATGGCATTAAATAACACTTTCCCAAACAGAGAGCACATGCTTCTCAAATCAACATCCCAGAGAGGATCTTTGATACCACCTAATAGCTGAGGGACCAGAGAGTCCAAGTGGAGAACTAGGTCCATAAGAATTAGAGCTAGAAGAGATCTATTAAATCAGCCAGCTTAGCTCGTGCAGGACTGTTCCCACAGTCGCCTCTTGTGCTTTGTCCTGTCCAGTTTTCAATGTCCCATGCAATCAGGCTTTTGCCGGTTCCCTTGTGGAGACTGTTTCACAGGCTAACAGATGTTTCTGAGGACACAAGCTAGATGTATGAACTCAGTGTATTGCTGGGTGTTCGAAATTTACCACCTGACAGTCACAGTATGTTTGTCTGACAGAGCCAAAGAAGCTGAGCATCTCAAACAGGATCTGCATGAAGCTAGAGAAGCGGAACGAAAAGCAAAGCAGAAACTTCTGGATGTAACGAGGCTTAATTATCCAGTAAGTTATGGGGAGGCAACACTTGATTGGAGAGTGGACAGATAACTAATCATCATTTAAATGTGGATGTAATGTAATTAACAAGTAAATACATATTTTTCGCAAAGCTTCCTCAAGACCCGGGGTGGGCAATAATTTTCACAGGGGGGCATTTCACAAATTTTGGTAAGTCCTCGTGGACCTTAGTCAGGGCCTTGGGGGAAAGGGTCAGAGCTGTGGGCTAGAGAGACGTCATCATTTTAACATTTCATAATCATTTAGGGAATATCTATTTAATCTGTCACCATCACTGTTAATTACATATCACACACTACTCTGAGATGTTTGCAATACAAGGATACTTGGATGGTATATTAGTAGAAAGGGAATATGCAGACTGAATCAATGAGAAAACTTTAGGAAGGGTTCAGAAAAGGAGTCTTGCGGTTGTAAACTTGTCTATGGCTTCAGACTTCGTTTGCGTACTCCGGTATAGCGAAAGGGGGAATTGTCAACACAGAGGATTGGGACTGTCGGGTTTTATTCCATTCTCTGCCACTGAGTCACTGCGTGAACTAGGGCAGGTAACATAGGGTAGAATTTTCAAAAGCATCCAAGTCCCATTTTCAAACATGAGTAACTCATAAGCAGATCAGCTTTTTTAAGTGTAACAGAACAGGAACTTCAGGGGTAGCCGAGTTAATCTCTACAGGATAAACTTAAACAACAACAAATTGCCTGGTAGCGCTTTAAAGACTAAGAAAACATGTCGATGGGCACAGCCCACTTCTTCAGATTCCTCCCAGCCTGTTAAAGCTGTGGGCTTGCACAAAAGCAGAATTAGCCGCTGTGACCTGAAGTGCCAGGAGCAAATGCACTAATCGTGCTTATGGGGAAGTGGCCTACGCACGTGCTGCATTCTCTAGGACAGCGGTCCCCAACCTTTTTCATACCGAAGTTCGCAAACTTTTGGCGGACTGGTAACATTTTATTTGCATATTCATTATGGCAATTAATTTTAAGAGGGCATGTGTTATTTTACATCGCGTGTGTACGTACACACTACATGTCATAACTGATCAGGGTTTGCAGATAGCTACAACACTTAAAAAAAATCCCCAGAAAGAATTCCCTCTGGCTGTTGGGTGGGGCAGCCCCACACTCAGGGGTTACTGGTGCCTGGAGGGGGAGGGGTTTAGGGAGGGGCATTCACAGGGACAAGGGACATATGGAGTACCCTATTTAGCAACTGAAATTTTGTCAGGGGCATAGGAGCTGGTGCCCCCCAGTGCTACCACCAGTCACCTCCTGCCCCATGGAGTGGGGGAGCTGCCACTGTATCTCCCCCATATTCTTCTGTACGACCCCTGCCCTGTGTCTCTCCCTTCTCCAGCCAGGCTGATCTTGCTCCCACAGTCTCCCCCCATCTCCCCTTTCCCTCCCTGTGAACCCCCTCAGAGTTTCCCTCCCTCCCTGCTCTCACCCGCCCCATAAGTCTTCCCTGAACCTCCCGCAACCTCCCTTCAGTGCCTCCTGCATCCCCCTCTTGCCCCTGCCTCACACATCCCTGTTCCACCCCCCCCATCTGCCCTGCTCCTCTTCAGTCTCCTCGCAACCTCCCCAGGGCTGGCTTTCCCCTGCACTGCACATGCTGGGAGCTGGCAGCAGCTTCAATGGGCCCTGGGCAGGGATCACAGCCAGCCCCACTGGGAGTAGCCCAGGGCCAACCCCTCCCCCTGCAGCCCCGGGTCACGGGCGGCACTGCCCCCAGGAGAGGAGAAGGGAGGTTTCTGGGCCGATTGGGCCTTGCTACAGAGTCCCACTGAGCCAATCATCAAGGCATGGGCGTGGCCTGGCAGTGTGCCGTGCCCTGGCAGCCAGCAGTCTGAACTGGCACTGGTCTGCAGACTGGTAGTTGGGCACCGCTGCTCTAGGATAGCCACAAAGTTTAAAAATTCAATGGGAAATGTTCTAGCCTCTAACGGGGTTGACTCACAGCTGCGGTACCTCTGCTGGTTAGTCCGGGAATGAGCCCCACTACACAAGCACGATGCTTCTCTCTTATTGACACACAGTCTGTGGGCTTTGTATGCTATGTCTTTGAAGGCTAACATTTGATTTCAAAAAGCAGGGGCAGCTAGGGAGGACTGCAAAATGTTTTCATCCATCTTTAGAATCAATGGGAAAATGGAGACCGTGTAGTGTGAGATTTTTGTAGGAGCTAGGAAATATATTTGCAATAAAAAAAAATGTTCAAATTGTATTACGGGGACACACTCTTTTTGATTATCTTTCTTCTTTAAGCATGTGGCCCAGTATTCTTCTCATTCACCTGCTGACACCAGAGACGTCAACCTTGACAAAGGGTCTGGAAAGATGGATTTAAAAGATGTCGACCTGAAGAGACTGTCTTTTGAGATAGAAAAGGAGAGGTACTGCAAAACTCTTCCCATGTAAATAAACTCTCGGGAGTGTTATCCCGAGAAACTAGAAGTGGAAAAACCCTGTTAGGTCTCCTGAGGTATCCTCCTACCAGAGCAGGATTGTTCCCTTCCGTACTTACGGGTGACTGCCTTGTATAGAGCGTCAGCTCTGTAACATGTTAGCTGTTTAGGAGGAGAAAAGATGTTTTCTTGGCATCAGGCCGTGAAGAGAACAGAGCACTGGGCTTTAAAGGAATCCATGACATAAGTGCAAAGCCCACTGCCCTGATATAAGTATGCAGGATGAAACTTCCCACTATTGCTGCAGTAGAGTATTGCACAACTGACCTGACGCATTGAGTCTGTGGGGGAGCCTCTCGGCTCAGAGAACCATTGTTCTGTTATGGTATTTCCTAAGTCCTATGAACATCTACTATCGATTGGACCTCCCTGGTCTGGCACCCTGGGCATCTGACTGGTCCTGAACAAGGGAGTTTGCCAGACCAGAGGAGGTCAGGCCTTTGGGATCTGGGGAGGGGAGCACCAGTCTCCCCACTGGGCTCTCCTCCGCCATCACTGGATTCTACTGTTGTTGCCCCCAGGTGCTGGCATTGGCTCTGCCTCCCCGTCCCCCACAAGCTCCATAGGGACTGCTAGCCTACTGGCAACCTCTGCTGCTGGGGCTCTCTGGGCCAGCAACATCTGTGATCCTGCTGGACCATGGATGTTGCCAGACCCGAAAGTCTGGACCAGAGAGTTTCAACCTGTAAAAGACTCTTCAGAAAGTTCCTAGATGTACTTGAGAGTATCAGGCTGGTTCAGAGGCTGTCCTGAATAGTAAAAAGGGTTTCTAAGCTGCATTCTGGGAAAATGGACATACAGTGACAAGACTCACTCTTTTTAATTTTTTCACCCTGAATGCTCTATAATGTTTCATAGGAGGGGGTTGTGACCTGGTGCAGGGGATTGAGATGCTGGAGGGGATGCAAGGTCCAGGAGAGGGTTCGGGTGCATGAGAGGATTTTGATTTGGGGAGGGCTACAGGACGGGATCAGGATCTGGAAGGGAGTGGAGCCCCAAGGCAGGGGTGCAGAGTTGTGACCTAAGGCAGGGAGTTGGGGTTCCAGGTGCAGACTCTGGCTAGGAGCCACTTAACATAGTAGGCGGCTCACAGCAGCTCAGCGGGACCCTCAGGCAGGCTCATTGCCTACCTGGCTCCATGTCTCTGCACCACGTACCCCTTACAGAGGCACTTGGTGCAGTGCATGCACCCGCAAGCACGGCCCAGGCAGCTCCCATAGGCTGACTGAGTGAATGTCGTGTCAAATGAATCTCAGATGTAAGACCAGTGGAGTTAGACAGGGGATGGATTTTGCTTCCAAAGCTGAGAATGAAAATTGATGGGACCTCACGAAATGTAAAAATGTGAAAACTGCCACTGAAGTTTTAGAGCTGCCACTTTTGGCTGCTTCTCTGCCTGTGTGGATTGCAGGTTAGATTACTTGGAAAAGAGCAAAAAATTTGAAGATCGATTGAAAGAGCTGAAGTCAGAAATCCATGCGCTGAAACTAGAGGAAAAACAAACTGGACTCTACTCTCACTGGAATGAAGTTCTTGGATCCTTGGGAAATGTATGTAACATTACATGGTTTTGTAATAAGAGTAACTGATAACTTTTACTGCATGAGTAAAGCTTAATAAATATAGACTATTTGGTTGACAGCATAAAAGAAGGAATGTTGGAATCACTAAAATGTTTCTACAAGCACTGGATGCTAAATGAACGCTACATATTTTAGTATGAAACATACATTCATTTCTCTATTGATAATGAAATGTGAAAAGCGGTTCCAGAGACATTAAAAGTGGCATTTTCTGTTGGAAACTTTGTATGGGAAGAAGCCCTTCACCCAAAAGATTTGTGAGGTCCTAGTAAGAGTCCCATGAAAGTTGAAGGTGTTGGGCAAAAAGGCCTTTGTAAGCTCATAACATAGTTAAATGTGGCATAGTTGTAATCAGTGGTCTTCTATTTCATGTTTTTATGGCTATTTATTCGTGTGTGTGGGAGAGGGAGAGGGATTGACTGACTCATACTCAGCTTTTTATGTCAGGATCTTGAGTTTCAGCTAACCAACTTTCCAGCCCCTTTCTGGATCAGTGCAACAGAAACAACGATTTCTCCAAACCTAATAGAAATTTCTCTTAGTGTATCCTCCATCCCTAGAGGCTTTTAAGTCTCAGCTTGACAAAGCCCTGGCTGCATTGATTTAGTTGGGATTGGTCCTGCCTTGGGCAGGGGGCTGGACTTGATGACCTCCTGAGGTCTCTTCCAGCTCTCTGATTCTAACCCATGGTAGAGACAAAAAATGGAGGCTTCAGTGTATTTGATATGCTTTTAGCTAAACACAGTGATGGGCAACCTAGGCTAATGAGTGAGCTACATGACTGGCTCTCCTTCATCTCAGTGAGCCCCAAGATTGTCCTAGCTGAGACGGTTTCCTGGGATAGGGGAGTTTTGCTCACTGCACTTGCAGACCTAGAATTTGGGGGTGCTGACTGAACTGTAGCAGCACTTTAATTGGCTGCAGGGGGAGCGTACAGCTCTCACAGTCAATGTTGTGTGCGGTCAGCACTCACCTCACTTCACGTGCCCTAGCTTTATGCACCTGTCACTTGAGTAATGCTGTTAGGAAAAAATATGCGATTGAAACCAGCGGAAAGTGGCAACCCTGCGTGTGGGTAACCATAAACCAACTGTCTTGCAAGCCATACGTAAACCCCTCATGGGCCGCACGTGGCCTACATGCTGCAGGTTGCCCACCACTGGCTTAACCTGAGCTAATGTAGTGAGAACACTTTCACAAGTTCTTTTCTTTAAAGGCTCCCTCATGGATGAAAAGCTTTGAAGCTGCAGATTTGTTGGATATAAATCTTCGAAAGGCCTTCCCAGCTTATCCGTTAACTGCCACAAGCAGCTGGCCATGTACCAACAAAAGTCAACAGGCAGTGCCAGTGGAAAAGTCAGCTTTTCAAACAAATGCATTAGTTGCCAGCAGTGTGGGGACAGGAAGCAGAAAACAGATGATAAAGGTAATGAGATTTGTATGTATTTTCCCAAAAGGTGACTGGAGTGCTTGTGAAAATGAGGAAATGGCCTGGGAAGCGTCTCCCCGCGCCCCCAGTGCACCTCAGTCCCAAACTGTGAAATGTTTGCTAACTGTTCCAGTCCTGCCACACATGGCCATATAAGGCAGATTGTAAAACAGGCAACATGGGGCTAGGATGAGACAAACTGACTTCATTCTGCTTCTGATTTGAAGCTGGAATATGAATGGAAGATAAATCCCCTTTAGATAACGAGGGTTTGTATTCAGTAGCTGCCTTTTCTTCATAGTCTGACACTGGTTTAAGGGCAAGCAACTGTTATAGATCAGTGAGCAGCAAGCAGCTTTATTTATGCATTACTAATTGTGTTGGTCACTAGAGAACGAACTGGACTATCAAGGAATATTGATGTAGGTGAATGAGGCTAGGGCCAGAATTTCTATTCAATGATCAATAAACTTGAGCTCTGCTTGTGAATTCCTTCATATACAGGTTGTATATCCCTGGTCCGGCACCCTCCAGACCTGGCCAGTCACAAACCAGGGAATTTGCTGGCAGGGGTGAAAGGAACTTAAATTTCTGACAGGTGCTGTCCTATTTCCCCTGCCAGCCCTTTAAGTAACTCCCCACTGGCTTTTGCTGGAGCTGTGCACCCAGGCGCACTCCCTTACTTCCACCTCATTTGCTGGACCAGGGAAAGTCAATGCTGGCCCCTCTGCTGCCACCAGCCACGGGAATCAGCTTTGGCAGTAGCAGGGGGGCCAGCTTTGATGGGGGTGGGGGGGTGCACTCAGGGGAAGAGGCAGAGAGGTTATGAAGCTTTGCTGCTGGGGGCAGGGAACATTCTGAGCCCTGTGGCTGCCAGGCTGCAGGGTTCCTCAGCCAGCCTGCCTCTTCCCAAGTGTTCCCTGAGCTTGAGTGTCGTGAATGAGCGATTTGCAGTGCTCTGAAAGGACAGTGTCGGAACTGCTGAGCATGGGCCTTGCTTTTCTTGCCGAGTGTTGCAGCCCGGGAGCATCCAGAGATGCCAGACCACAGATCTTGCCGGATGATGGCAGTCCAGACTACAGCAGTCAAACCTCTGTTTATCATAAAGATTTTCAGGACAATTAGAGATGTTAACTTGCAGCCTTTGTGGGCCTAGAACTGAGAGTCCAATACAGTCGGACAGAAGCAGCATTTTCCTAATGCAAATAATACAGAAAAACAGGATCTAAACTGCAATCTGATATCTATCGTGGGCAAACTTCCATAGAGGAGGATAGGGAAAGGCAGGAAAAAAGGGCAAGCCATTTTAAGAAGTCACATCAAAAGCCCCAGAATGTTGGCACCCACTCAAATGCTGAAACAGAACTTTAGGGTAGAAATAACTTCTCTTTCATTTGCATATAGGTTCAGCAACATGACTCAGATGTGATCTACATTTGAAGCACCTCAGCGATTCAGTAATCTTTTCATAAAGAGGTAAATAAGCAAACTTCATAGTGATCCAATTGGCTGTGAAAAAATAGTTATTTGCCTAGGACCACTACGTTCCTTTGTCTGCTCAATGATGTCAGAGTCAAAACATGTCCTGGAAAGCACGTGTGGTGCTGCTCAGCTTCCAGAGAGACAGCAAACGCCTATAGCACTGAAAACGACAAGCATCTTTCATAGTGGCAAACATGGAAAGTTTTAGGAGCCAAGCTACAACTTCTCTGCTGATAGATAACACTTTACATTTAAAATGCTGTTTATTTTAAAGTGCTTTTTAAATGACAAAGCATCATTGAAAATCAGGACCTTTTAAAACAAAGAATAGAAAATAGTCATTGGAACATGCTATGGGAGATGTTTGGGAAAAATCCTGCTTTTATTAAAAAAATGTACACAGTACCAGACTTTCTGTGAAATCCTAGTAGCTAGTATGACACTTCCTAAGCCTCTTTCAGCATATTTGTTAGCCTGCTAAACATTTTTCACTTCTTATCCCTAAACATAAGACTCTGTCCACATACACGACTTGTATTTCTATTAGGGAAAGTTTCTCTTATACAAAATTTAGGATTGGACAGGCTTTTTTGTGGGTCTTAATACATCTATTTTTTGCTGTGTCATGGGGATACAGATGGATCCTTATTTTGCAAGTGTAGGGCTTCTGTTTCTATATGTTTTTTATGATAGTGTGGAACACCTTCACTGCTGCCCTCTGTAGACGACTGCATAACTTACTGTTTCACACTAGGTCTAGATTTTGGGGCTTTATTGGAAAAAGCTATGCAAATTGCATTCTGCAATTTGCGTAGCTTTTTCAGATTGCTTTTGCGGAAGATGCTTTTCCACCATTTGGCCCAGTCTAGATGGGGCTATATGGCACAAAAGCCTCCTTTTTCAGTGGAACCCTTATACCTCGTGAAATGAGGTATACAGGGCTCCCCAAAAGAGCGCATTTGCTCTTCCACCAAAAAAAAGTGGAAGAGCAAATGCATTCCTTGGACGCAGTGGGGTTTTTGTAGGACACCTCTGGTATCCCACAAAAACCTTGTATTCTAGATGTAGCCATATTTAAGTACTAGAGACAAAAGAAATCTACTGGTATCTGCTAAAGCAGGACTCGTTTCTGATGAAGACTAAACATGGTATCCACCACTCAGCAACTACTTTTATCAGACCCAATTTGTATTTTAGGATGCTGTGCATTAAATATATATTGAACTGATATTTTCAGACAGTCTTCTATGGAAGTGACGATGTAGCTGAAGTAGGTTGAACATACAGGAGGACTGAATACAAATGGATTTTAATGTTCATAAACATCTACTCCAGTTAAAGATCTAAACTATATTTAATAAAGTTTTAATTACTTCTAGCTGTCAGTTTCTTAAATGCATATGTATATATTGATTAGATGCAAGTTTAAAGGCAGAGCATGAAATAGTATTTTTACCTCTGAGCACTGTCCAGTTGGGGGTACTGTATGTGCTCCTAAACTGTTACCAATCTTCACCTCTGCTTCCTCATTGTTGGAGGATAAGCACATTAAGTAAGATGACAGAATTATAACCTTTACATGTATCTGAATTGCATCCATATTCAGGAAAGCCACTGTGCAAGGAAGTATAGGTGTTGTTTGAAGCAGAGTAGGAAGTCACATGTGATAGTTGACAACTTTAATGTTTATTTTGATACCTGTCAGCCATTCTTTGAGCCATAAACATTAAACAAACCAACTGTACATAAATACAAAGTCAAAAGGAACTTCCTCTATGACAGTGAGAGCCTGAAAAACTCTATCCAAGGCAAAGGCTTTATAGGGCGATAGACTTTCCACACTCAAACTTGAACTGGATTCTGCTACAATACTGCAACCCATCTCTCTCCTGATGACCGCTAACTTTGTTTGCCAGAAACTAAGCTTTATCACTAAAGTGAAATCGCTCTAATCATTATAGAGGCTGTGAGGGCTGAAGCTGCAAGCAACTCAACTGAGATTGAGTCCCAGTAACTTTCATATCTTCAGTGCTCAAACATCACAAAGAGGTGCACAATCAATGGCTTATTAACATGGGGAAATTTATTCACTTAACTTTGTAGTTTTGTGTAGCCTCTTATTCTAACGAGTGTGTCCATATTAGGCATGTGAAAGATGAACCAGTTAACTGGTGAGCATGACCCTTAATGGGTGATGCTTACTGGTTTTGGTTAACCAGTGGGGCCTGGAGCAGTATCCCCACCCACTGCAGGCAGGGAGCTGCTCTAGCCCTGCAGGGCTCATTGTAGACAGGGGCTACCCTGGCTGCCTGGAGCAGCCTCTGTCCAAGGCATACCCAGATGCCCTACAGGCAGGGGCTGCTCTGTCCTACCCCACTTGCCTCCCTTTAATGGGTTAGCCAAGGAAACAATACATTTAACCAATGAAATGGGATTTTACAGCCCTAGTTCATAAAAGGAGTTGTCAAGAACCCTCCCCAAGTAATTTCAACTTGCAAAATGCTTAATGATTAAGGAGCCTATATCCCATTGAATATCATTGGGTTTTAAACACCAATGCAACCTAGGTACTTCTAAATTGATTATTGGCCTCACCTGCAAAATCTGCCCCTTGAAGATGTTCAGGCTATCAGACTAAAGAGGAGACATTTCTGAGAGAAGCTTTGCTAGGTACATGTGTTAGTAACTGTTGCAGTTATAAACCGAGAATACACAGGTCTTTGCAGACAATGTATGCATGTAATCAGAGGCCCCGTGTCAAAAAAAAAATTATATGGGCTTGACAAATAATGTAATCTATTCACCAGTGGCAAGTAGATTACAACCCAGAAGAGCCAGCACAGACCAATTTGCACATGCGCAGAACCACGCGCAAGGCGAGCAGGGCTTGCTGCTGGCGTCGCTTGGCGAGCTCTGGATATATCATCCCCTAAAACTAGGAAATAGAAATTATGGCAAACTACTAATGCAAGTTTTGCTGCAAAGTCCTACTGTTGTGGAAACTGATGTTTAATTCTAGGGGCTCTATTTAAATTCCATGTTTAGCCTAGAACTATGTATATGAGTAGGTTGAGTTAGTGTGTTTTATTCTTTCCCTTCCAGTTTGTATTCTCTCACACAATATGACTACATCTCTTGGAGATGTTTAGTGCTTAACTATTATTCATATATTATCTAGTCTGAAAAACTGTGCTGTAAGTTTATGAAGGAAATCATTTAGAAGCCTGTATCTTCTACAGAAGGTGGGTTGACAAATGTTATGTGTAATCACCAAGACACACAAAGGGATCTAGAATTGAGCTAATAGAGGAGTTGAAAGCATTTATGCTTGTCCTGCAGGGCTCATTGTAGACAGGGGCTACCCTGGCTGCCTGGAGCAGCCTCTGTCCAAGGCATACCCAGATGCCCTACAGGCAGGGGCTGCTCTGTCCTACCCCACTTGCCTCCCTTTAATGGGTTAGCCAAGGAAACAATACATTTAACCAATGAAATGGGATTTTACAGCCCTAGTTCATAAAAGGAGTTGTCAAGAACCCTCCCCAAGTAATTTCAACTTGCAAAATGCTTAATGATTAAGGAGCCTATATCCCATTGAATATCATTGGGTTTTAAACACCAATGCAACCTAGGTACTTCTAAATTGATTATTGGCCTCACCTGCAAAATCTGCCCCTTGAAGATGTTCAGGCTATCAGACTAAAGAGGAGACATTTCTGAGAGAAGCTTTGCTAGGTACATGTGTTAGTAACTGTTGCAGTTATAAACCGAGAATACACAGGTCTTTGCAGACAATGTATGCATGTAATCAGAGGCCCCGTGTCAAAAAAAAAATTATATGGGCTTGACAAATAATGTAATCTATTCACCAGTGGCAAGTAGATTACAACCCAGAAGAGCCAGCACAGACCAATTTGCACATGCGCAGAACCACGCGCAAGGCGAGCAGGGCTTGCTGCTGGCGTCGCTTGGCGAGCTCTGGATATATCATCCCCTAAAACTAGGAAATAGAAATTATGGCAAACTACTAATGCAAGTTTTGCTGCAAAGTCCTACTGTTGTGGAAACTGATGTTTAATTCTAGGGGCTCTATTTAAATTCCATGTTTAGCCTAGAACTATGTATATGAGTAGGTTGAGTTAGTGTGTTTTATTCTTTCCCTTCCAGTTTGTATTCTCTCACACAATATGACTACATCTCTTGGAGATGTTTAGTGCTTAACTATTATTCATATATTATCTAGTCTGAAAAACTGTGCTGTAAGTTTATGAAGGAAATCATTTAGAAGCCTGTATCTTCTACAGAAGGTGGGTTGACAAATGTTATGTGTAATCACCAAGACACACAAAGGGATCTAGAATTGAGCTAATAGAGGAGTTGAAAGCATTTATGCTTGTATCTTGGATAAATAAACCAGCGCACAACCTTAATGAGCAGATGCCTTTATTCTAGATCAGATTTATTTAGGTGGTGGATTTTTGCATAGTTTAAAAGCACAGCTTCAGTCTCACAGAAGCATAAAGAACCACCACACCACTACCACAGCCTATAAAATACTTTATGTATATATTATAATTCACTTAACAGGTGAAAGAATAAATTATGCAAACACTTTTTTCCAAGTTAGGATGTATATTTTTATGTGCCCCATGAATAAAATATAGAAGAATGGTCCTCTATTTACAAACAGAGAAATTTCTCTAGCAGTAGTATTTAGCAGTCTAGGTCACACATTTAATGCTGCTGTTAAAGAATGCAATATAAACCTTGGTTAACTCTGTGTACTATTTTAGCAGATATACCTCATTTAATTAATGTGCTTGTACAAGTTTCTCTTATGCAATATACCTCTCTGGGATACGTGCAGCCTTCCACCCAGCACCGAATTAAAGGGAAAAGGACTTGGCACACTAGATACTGCAGATGAACACTTTGATTTCATCAACACCCATACCAAAACAAAGCTAGTATAGCTTTTCACGGTCAAGTCCTATAACTCTGTCCTTGCTAATGCTACTCAAATATTTAAACACCTCTTTATTAAAGGCACTTGTTACCCAGACAAATACAAAGAAACACAGCATGGAAAAATCCCACATAGATCTAGTGTCAGCAATTATTTGGCAGCAATAGATTGGAAAAACAAAAACTTAACAGAATGAGGTGGCTTAACCCTGCCTCTTAATAGTGTTTGCCAAACAAGTGAGATTGTGGGAAGCATTTCATTCAAACTTTTCATCTCCTTCTTCCACATCTTTCAGACTGAGTACTTCAAGCGTGCCTTTCCCTTTAGTTTCACACCGGATCAATTCGTCAATCTCCCTGAAGCAGCCTGGGTCAATGAGGCACACCTGCAACATTGTGTGTCAGTCAGTGAAGATTTAGCTTATATTAGTTCCTTTTTCTCCTGTGGCATGTTAATATACAGATTACTGACCCACCAGGTGTTAATTTTTTTCCACATCCCTAGAAGCCTGTATTTAAATAATCCACAGGGATGCACCTTGTTTGAGGGAGTTTTGCAGCTCCCTCTACCCATGGTTGACTTGCTAATAATCCAGCAGTGAAATTGTAGAAGGAGCCAAGTCTGTTGTAAGTAGCTCAAAGTATTATTAAATACAGATCTTGTTTAATTTATAATTATTTTGGTGGAATATCTTTTAAATAAGTCACAGTACTGTCAGAACTCAATAGCACTAAAATCCAGTGCAAAACACAGGCTGTAAGAGTTAAAATGGAATGTCCTAACATATAGGAGACTGGCAAAACATGAAAAAGGGTAAACTAAACATAACACTGCTAAAAGCAGTTGAATTCTACTTTTCAAAGTTTGAGCCTGCAATTCCACAACAAATATGGGTAGATGTAGATGACTGAGTCATGCCTGCTGGTTAAGAACTCCCATTCCTGATACAAGTGTTCTGACAGTCCTGAGTTTTTTAAAGATTTGAAAGTAGTCACTAAGGCTATAACAAATTTAAAAAAAACCCCAACCCCCCCAATCTCTGAACTATGCATCTCTGATTAATTCAGTTTTAGGGCTCTGGTACAATTTGAGCTAACTCAACCCCTCCCCCCCCCCCCCTTTTTAGCCTTCAAAAGACAACTAAATGTAGAAAAAATGACTATAGAAATGAGATTCTTACAATTTCTAACTGATCATCGAAATCTTCACTCTCTATGACTTTGATCAGTGGTTTGAGTTTCTCTTTTAGCTTCTTGCCCTCTTTTGGTGGAAGAATGAAGCGCAGCCTCATGTGAGCCCGCTCAATCTGCATAGTCTCCTTTAACTGTCTGATCACTTCCAAAGCCTGGAAAGACATGAACTATAAATGAAATTCACTTATGCTCATTGATTATTTACAAAGCACCACAGCATTATCATTAGTATTATGTACAACTGCTTATAGATTCCTCAGAAAAATTCTCCAGTAGGTTGGGTATATTCTGATCAGAGCTGAATAACATGAGAAGGCATGGAATTGGATTTAAGGAGTCAGAAAAACTGAAATTTTTTTTTAAATAAGGTGGTTATGTCAAAGCTATGAGAATCAGGACATTCAAAATGAAGGATAAACACACTGTCCCCCATTGAACATTAGAAGGTAAGATGAGGACATATGCTTTGAGTATTCTTACTTTAGTTTTACACCCAATTTTGCTGCTGTTTTAATAATCTGTTTTAATAACCCTCTTTTGTGGACAGATAAACCAAACTACTGAGTTTCAGAATGCATGTGTTTCTTTTTAACATTCAGCTCCTATGCCGTTTCTGTCTGGGAAAAAATACTCACTCACCATCCTTAGATGTAGGCTAATGTGATTCCTGTGGATGTTAATAAGAAAACTACATACAAAATTCTAAGTGAAAACAGAATTTTTGGGGAGTGATACTTACCTGTTGTTTAGTGCTCTTGTTTGGTTTAACAGAATAGTGGATATCCTTCATGGCTCTTTCTATAAGAATTACTGTGTATGGCCTCTTTGTTTCAGGGTTCACACACTTATCAGCTACAATAGTTGCAATGTCTCTAAACATCTGCTCCAATTGGGTATGCCGCTCTTTGTCAGACACCTGCAACTCCCCTTTTGTTAAAATCTAGAAATGATAAAGCAATGAAAAATTCTATTAATAACAATAATACATGTTTGACTGATGAATAGAATTCTAGCTCTGGGAAACATTGATTTATTCTAAAAGTAACAATTATTGTATATGTTAATTTACTAGTATATACATCTTTAACTTGACTAGGTTATTCTGCAGCACATCAAATATAAAACTAAAATTCTTTTGTAATACAAAAAAACCCTTATGTAACAGTGTAATGCTTGTTTTGTTAAACTATACAAAGGAAACTGCAGTGTTTTTCAGGTAAGGGGCAAATTCCAGAAGTGAATTTAACAGCTTATATTAGGGATGTGAACAGGTAACTGGTTACCAGTAAGCATTACCCTTAATGGGTGATACTTACCAAGCAGC